GGAGGCAAGAACGCGCCTGAGCCCATGGCGAGGGGACCCGCAACCGCTGCCTTCGCCGTCGCTGCCGACCCACCAGTGCCGCCAGCTCCCGGGCACCATGCGAGCCGCCCCGAGCCTCCGCGGCTGCGTCTGCCTGCTGCTCGCCCCGATCCTGGACCTCGCGCGCGGTGAGTGCGCGGCGCCCGGCGGGAGCCGGGGAGAGGGACACTGGCGCGGGTTCGGGCCGCCGAAAAGGATCGGGGTCGCCCCGGAGCCGCGCGGGGCGTGGAGGGGCTCGGGTCCGAGTAGTGCTCCGGTACGGGGCTTCTTGGGGCTGCCTGGCTGAGCTGGGAGGGAGGGAGAGCGCAGGTCTGTGCCAGAGTGTGTGTATATGTGTCTCGCCCCTGTGGTGTGTGTACAAGCGTGTGTCTTTGTTGCGTCTCTGCGCGAGGGGGTCCGGGAGCAAGCTCTGTGTGAGAGGTGCAGGAGTGAATTTAGGATTGTGCTTGTGTGTGTGTGTGTGTGTGTGTGTGTGTGTGTGTAGGCGTAGGAGTGAGCGAGTGTCTGGAGGAGTGTTGGAGTGTGTCAGTTGCACGACTGCTGTGTTTGAGAGGGTGTGTGTGTGAGAGAGAGTGAAAAAGAGTGAGCCAGAGTGTTTGGGGGTGTGAGCGTGTGTCGGTCGTTCAGTGAGTCTGTGAAGTGTGTGAGCTCGTGTCGTATGTGTGAGCGTGTTAAGGAGTGGATTAGTATGTGAGTTGTGGCGTTCACGCGTGTCCTCAAGTGTTGAGGGGTCTCTTTAGGGGGATGTGACAGCGGATGACTATTTTTGTGGGAGTGGGGACAGCATGTGTGCATAGGTGAGAATGTGACACTCGGATAGGCTGGGTGCAATGGAGCTCTTGTGGAGGTGCAAGGCGCGAAGGGGTTGTGTTGCTTCGTGGGCTAGGAGTGTGTGCTCGTGATGGGGCGTGTGGCTCGTGTATGGAAGGACGTATGGACGAGTCTGGGAAACAGAAGCGTGAGGAGCAGCGCTGTGTGTGTGTCCCACAAGGACTTGGGCTGGGGCTGGCTGAATCAGCTGGAAGGAGATGGAAGCCGAGCGGGGTCCCCAGAGCGAGTGAGCCGTGGTTCCGCAGCTTCGGGGTTCTTGGCTGCATCCGCATCCCAGCCTGACGCCGCCGCCTGGTGGATCTTAAATACTACCAGGCCGAATCTGGGGACCTCCGCACCTTTCAGGCAGTGATTGGAGAGCAGACTCATTGGCTAAGGGCCGGGCCAGAAGGCGACCAGTGGATGATAAGCCTTGGAGAGGAGAGGGTCTGCGTCCTCCACTCTCCTCTAAGCCTGTGCTGGGTGCACAGTCAGCCTGGCTGCAGGCAGAGACTGGCTTCACAGCAGAGGGGGAAGGGGACACTGAGATGCCAAAAAGTAGCCATTGTGACCAGTAGAGGGTCTCTCTGAGTCAGTAGCCCAACTAGATGATGGGGGCAGGGTTTCCTCTGCCCTCTGCCATATGCCTGTCTCATCTGGAGGCGCCTAAGCAGACTCTGAAAGCGCCTCTCAGGAAGGTGTGACCCCTTTCAGTAACCCTATCCAACTCGGCCCAGGTTCTGGGAGAGTCCTGAGTCTGAGATGCAGAAGCTGCAGAAGCTGCAGAATTTGAGCCTGAGGAGTGGTCCTGCTGTGGGGGAGGGGCTGATGTAACCTAGAAGGGACACTAGCCCTGTACTCTTTCTCTCCCTACCCTTGGAGCAAGACGATTTCCAAAGTGGACCAAAATCTGCCCCCAACTTTGGGAAGAGGGCTCCCCCCTTCGGATGCCTCTTGAGGAAAAGGGTATATGAAGGGACAGTCATAGTTCCAGGACTACCCAGAGGACACTGTGGGAAGGTACTGGAGCCCTCACCTGGAGACGGAAGCGAGTATTTGGGATTGGAGTTAGGGGCAGGAGGAAAGCACCCATTTCTCCCCAGAATGCGCAGAGCAGCAGTAGGCAGGGGTGGGGATCCACTGATAGGAAGGGCTTTGATGGGAAACTCCAGCTCTGTCAGGACCCCACCCTGCAGCGAGCTTCTCCTCTGGACCCCACCCTGCAGCGAGTTTCTCCCTCAATGGGCGAGCGGCGTTCCTCTGGCTCCCAGGCTGCGGAGAGCTGGCCAGGCGGCCAGGCGTCTCAGCTCCTTTCGCCTCTGCAGGCTGCGGGAGGCGGGGGCGCGGGCACCCGGGCCGAGCGCATCTGGACCTGCCAAGCTGGCGCGGGCTCCGCGGCTCAGGGCAAAGCAAGCGCGTAGACCTGCTGGCTGACATGAAACTTTCCGGACCTAAGGCGCAGGCGGGAGTCCCAGGCTCCTGGAGCCTTCTCTGCAGAGGGGACTTGGAGCCGTGGGAATGGGATCCCTCCTTCCCTGTTCCAAGTGTGTGACCACGATGGGAGCAGGGGTGGGAGAAGGATCCGCACCAGGTGCAAAAGGCCAAGTGCGTCGGAGGAGGGCGCCCTTCCTGGAAGTGACCCTGAGCAGTGCACCTGGCAGTTGATTTTACAGGGCCACCTGCCAGGGGCTGGCCGTGAGCCCTGTGAATGGATAGTCCAGGCAGGCGTTCAGAAATGTGTTGAACCAGTATGAGGGTGGAGTGGGGGTGACAGTGGCAGCCACTGCCGGGCGTGGAGGGGCTTGGTCGGTGCACCTTCGCCTCACCTGGGCTCCCCACCCCTCATTGCAGACATTCCAGACGTAAGCCTGCCTCCTCTGGACGGCCCTGGACCATGTTTACCTCTCCCTCACCTCCACCCTTAACCCACCTCTCCCTCACCTCCGCCTCTGTTTCTCAGGACAGGCCACTTCTGGCTACTGCACTTTGGCCTGTGCTGGGAGAGATATTGGGCTTCCCCTCATTCATCCCTAGAAGAACATTAAATAGATTAACCCCTAAGGAGCCAAAGGTGCCGGCCTCTAGGGTGGACCCCAGTCTCCTGGGTGGGGAAAGTAGCCCTGAGGGTCCTCGCTCCAAGCAGGCAGGTGTGACAACTTCAGGTATTCATCCTAGGCCCTCCCCTCCCACCTTGCCTGCCAGGATGCGGGTGAGGATGCCCTAGCAACCTTCCTTCCTTCTCCAACCCCAAGCAGAAGAATTATGGTTGAGCGGAGCACCCTGGATTTTTGAGACTTTACTCCCCCTGCCACCCCTACCCTATCCTGTCTGGACCAATCCCAGCCATAGTTCCTTTCCACCTGATTTCTGGTGCAAGCAGGAGTTAAACAAATCTATTTATTTATTAAAGCAGAGGTTGTTAGAGCTGGCAGGAACCCCAAGATCCTGCATTTCGATAGCTGTGAAATTCTGGTTTTTCAGCCAAGAGAACTCTGCTAGTGGAACTGGTTAACAACCTAGTTTCTAAAACCTTAACACCTTTGAACACCATGAGAACAGATAGAGAACTGCCCAGGTCAATGGTGTGTGTGTGTAAGGGAGAGGTAGTGCTAACGAGACCCCATATTAATCCGCCCTTCCACACAGGTCTCCTTAAACAATGTCAGGATGACTCTTGTGCTGACAGAGAGTTGGGGTTGGTTTTTCCAACAGTGGTAATAACACGGATCAGCTGCAATGTGCACTGTGCTCAATGCTTCCTGCATAGCACACTCCTGTTCCATCCCCTTCCCAAGATGGGTTTACATTCTTCTTTTCACATGAGGAGACTGAGAGCATGAAGACTTGGGAATGACAGGCCCCTTCCAGAGCAGGTCCTCTTTGGAGCCCCCCCCCTCCTTCCAGTGGCCAGGGCACACAGACAGAGGTGCAAGCAGGACCAGTCATGTGAGGTTGATCTGATACCCAGGCTTCTCTGGCCATCAGTCCCACTTGCCCCGCCTACACTCAAGCAGGTCAGACCAGGTAGAATAGTGCACCCCACTTTAGAGACGAGGATCGGATCAGGAAGTAGCGAAGTTTCAATGGCTTGCTTGGGTTTCTTGTTTGCAGCATTTCCTGGCCTCAAAGGCAGAGGCAGGGTGAAAAGGAAGCCGGTTAATTCTGTTAACTTGGTTTCTTGCAATTCGTATAGGTGCATGGCAGCCAGCAGCTTGGCTTATACCCAGCTTATCTCTGACACATGCCCAGTCCACTTGAAACTCACTTATACAGGCACCCATCAAATGCTTATTATGAACCAAGTATGTCTAGATACTACCTTCTTTAGGAACATGACTCTGAACATGATAGTGAAGTGTCTTATGGCGCTAAAAGCCTGGTGAGGAATGGATGCTTCACTCAGAGGGAGGAGGGAGTTAGATCCTCCTCCCTACTACACCATGTGCTGCTGCTGATCTCATTAAATCTTCACCACCGCCCTAAGATGTACAATTAGCTCTGTTCTGCAGACCAGGAAACTGAGACTCAGAAAGGTTAAGTGACTTGCTCAAAGTTAGGAAATGATGACTAGGAATTCACATTCCCTCAGCCCTCCCCTCTGCTCCTTCCCTCTATGGGACTCCCTCCTAGTGAGAATGGAGCTTGGTTACTTTCTTAGCACCTCACAAGAGGAGTTGGCAGTGTATCCTGTTTTCTATGTCCTCAGCCCTCCTAAGCCTCCCTTGCCATAGGATCTTCCAGTACGTTCACCTTTAGAGGTGGGCTGAGAGAGATATCCCTCAAAGCCACTGTCATCATCAAGAGAATGGATGGGCATTTGTTGTGGGCAAGACTTATGAACGTGACCCTCGGGAGATCCCAAAGGGGTGAGAGATAGAGCATGTTTCTGAAAAGATGGATAACAATCCAAGTAGAAATTCACTGATACCTGCCAGATGCCAAGTGAATTGATAATCCCTCCAGGAAGTTTTTTGGGGAAGAGTGATTACTCAGGGCATTAAGGGAATGTTATGGAGAAGAGGGAGAACTTGAGCTAGACCTGGAAACAAAGGAAGGACATCAATAAGACCTGGAGGCAGGACTATGCATGAGGGATTAGCTCGACTCACATGGTGTCTCCCCTCAAGTCTAACTGAGGACTGAGAGAAAGAACCGTGCTATTACTGAGAGCAACTGTTTATTGCACATCTATTACATGCTCTTTGTACATTAAATGCTCTCAAGAACTTGTAAGGCAGTGTCATTAGCTGCATTTTATAGAGCTTTTTCTTTGTAGGAGTTATTGGAGCTTTCTTTTCTTTTTCTCTTTTTGTAATGA